ATTTTTAAATAATAAAAAATAATATTAAAAATTAATCATTTTTAATGAGATAAGACTCAAACTCAAGACCTTTAAATTAAAAATTAAAGATAGTATCAATTGATCTATTAAATATTACTAATTTTTAAATATTTTTATTAAATAAAATATAAAGACACAAAGTGTCTCTACCTACTAGTATATAGAAGAGGGATTTGTTTACTTTAGAAATAAGTTTATCTAAACTTATTTCGTTCAATAATTTATGTTCTACATCAAATTTCATTAATCTAATAATTAAAATTAAAGTTTTAATGTATAGATCAAGTCTGTAAATTTTTTAAAAATTAAAAAATTATTTGATACTTCGTTTCATTAATTCAAATTAATGGATAATTATAAAAATATTTTATATATTGATTTGAATTAATGAAACAAAATATTAAATAATTTTCAAATTTTGTAATGATTTGTAGATTTAATCTATATATTAAGAATTTTAAATTCACAGTTTAATCATTATAATTTAATATAAAACATGATTTATTGAACGACATAAATTTAAATATATTTATTCTTAAAATAAATATATTATTAAAAAATAGTAGCAACTTTAATAGAATTACCTATTATGTACTTATCATCCATGAAAACATAAGAATCAAAACAATCACAAGAGGATAAAAATTTTATTAGTTACCATCGTAAGCTTATAGTATTGTCAAATAAAACTTAGTAAATAATTAAGTACTAATACCTGACTTTGGTCGAAAATATATGATTTAAGTTTGATTTATTTTTAAAGACTTAACTTATATAGCTGATTTTTAGAGATTTATATAAAAGTCTAGTTTGATCTACAAATTTATTTAAATGTATTTTTTTGTTGTAATAAACATTAAATAAAAGTAAAATTAGATATACTAAATTTTATAATCTAACTTATTTATAGAACATAACCACATATTAAATATTTAATATGACATTCATTATAATTTATTTAAAAATATAATAAGTTCTCTAATTAGACATAAATCTATTTCAATCAACTTATAACTTTCACTTTTTTTTTATATAAATTAACATATTTAATATTTAAAAAGATAAATAAATATATGACTACAATACAATATAATAAAATTAATATAATATTAATAATAAATATTTATTTTTTATTTAAATAGACTAGCCTAGTAGTTAGCTTAATAGATTTTTTAAATGGTCTCCAATTAGCTAAATAAACTTTAATAAAAAAAACTTGTTGATGTATATTTCTGAATAAAGTCACACCTAACCAAGACCTAATGTAAACTACGCTTTATGCCTTTGTTAAAACCTTTCTCTATTCCTATTCAAGATTCAGTTCCCCTTTTATTTTTTTCATTTGTGTTTTCAATAGAGAAAATATTGTTAAGTTTTATTTTAAAAAACTTAATTAAGAAAATAGAAAACTAAAAATAATTAATTTATGGGTTACATACTTAATATTTGCTTTTAGTATGACAATTTAATAAATAATATTGAATGTATTTAATGTCTCAAAAACATTAAATAATTTAAAACATTTAATATTTTTCTTTAAGTATGACAATTTAATAAATAATATTTAATGTATTTAACGTGTCAAAAAATTAAATAATTTAAAACATTTAATATTTTTCTTTAAGTATGATAATTTAATAAATAATAATTAATCATTCTTATATATAAATTACAATGACAATCTTCAAATATTATTTTTAATTGTTATTTTTTAGCGATAATATTTATAAAATTTCCTTTAAAACCAATTAGGATAGTGTTAGGAGTCATTATCACTCTTGGTGTGACGAATTTAAAATTTTAAAAAAAATTGTAGATTTGATCTATACATTAAAAACTTTAAATTTAATGGTTAAATCATTAAAATTACGTGAGTTATTGAATGAAGTAAGTCTAGATATAGTTACTCTTGGAGTAAACAGATCATTCATCTCTCTATATATTAATTTATTATTTTCCTTTTTTAAAATTGTTATTTATATATTTTTATTAAAAATAATTAATAATATCATTATATCATAATATAAATTATTTAATATAAATATAAAATAAATTATATTAGAAATTATTTATTATGAATTAAAAATACGATATGATTTATATTTAAGTTACCAATTTATTATAAATTTAACTTATATAAAATGAATATTTTTCTTTTGCATAATACAAGTTAAAATGCTAATAAAGAGCATGTGAGAATTAAAAAAATTCTAAATATAAAATAAAATATTTATTTCGTTCTATTATTAACTATTCAAACATTAGAATAGTTAGAATGACATTTTTATTCTATTTTAATATATTTCAATTAATTTTATTACATTTTCTACCATCATTTTAAACATAACCTAAAATTAAATTTGTGGTAACAATATTTATAAAAAAAAATCACTCTATTTCAATTTATAATCGTACATAACCTAAAATTAAATTTGTGGTAATTAACAATATTTATATAAAAAAAATTACTCTTTCAATTTATAATTATACATGAATATTATATGTAAAAATGTTAAAAAGCTAGTGGCACAACTACGCATATTCCTTGAGTGTGGGAGATATATAATTGTTTGCATTTCTTTCATGAATCATGTTGGTGTTATGAGATCTAATGATTTTGTGTTTTCAAATTCAAATTGAGTAATTTACCCAGCTACTCTAAACTGATGCATGCAGGTACCTATTGATCAGCCTTGCATGGCACTAAACATGGTGGCTGCAATTACACATTCACCAGCACCTTGAACTTTGAAGCTAGTTATTACTCCTTTATCATAGAATAAATAAAACTATTGTTTAATGATTAAATGTTGAGTATCGAGGGAGTTACCACAGATACACACATGTCTCCACATTGGTAAGAATCGTGAGATATTGTCCGCTTTGGGTCCAAGCCCTCACGGTTTTGCTTTTGGACATCACCCAAAAGGTCTCTCAACCAATAGAGACAACTGTGTGTATATAAATTTATGTTCATCCTCTTGTTTGAACGATGTGAGACTTTGCTTGCATCCCAACAATCCTCCCCCTAAACCCTAAACCCTAAACCCTAAACCCTCAAGTAAAGGACCACGATTTTACCCCCTGTAGTGAAAACTACGAGTATTATCTGATGGTGGACCACGGTTTTACTCCTTCCTATGCAGCAAAAACTATGAGTATTATCCGATGGTGGACCACGGTTTTACCCTTTCCTATGCAGCAGAAATTACGAGTATTATCCGATGGTGGCCCATAGAACTCACTCACGCTATGAGTGCTTGCACCGTCGCTCCATCATGACCTCCCTAATGACAGCGGGACACGCCTCCTAACCCTCTACTGTTTAGGAAGACTTTCGACACAAGGGATCCCAAACTTGGATCCACCTGCTCATCGAGCGGCCGCACCGTCGCTTCATCATGACCTCCCTAATGACATCGGGACACGCCTCCTAACCCACGCCTCCTAACCCTCCACCGTTTAGGAAGACTTTCGACACAAGAGATCCCAAACTTGGATCCACCTGCTCGTCGAGCGGCCCATAGAGCTCACTCATGTTCTGAGTGCTTGCACCGCCGCTCCATCATGACCTCCCTCATGACAGCGGGACACGCCTCCTAACCCTCCACCATTTAGGAAGACTTTCGACACAAGGAAATACTTGTCGAGTCGGTCATCTGATAAGACAATCGACTCTAATACCACTTGTTGATCACTGAGGGGGTTACCACACATACACACATGTCTCCACATTGGTGAGATATTGTTCGCTTTGGGCCCAAGCCCTCACGATTTTGCTTTTGGACATAACCCAAAAAGCCTCTCAACCAATGGAGATAACTGTGTGTATATAAACCCATATCCATCATCTTGTTTGAATGATATGAGAATTTGCTTGTATCCCAACATTAAAGACAACTAACAGGAAAAAAATCGCATGCAAAGTATAACAAAGTCAAGCAAAGAATTAATATTTACAATGTCGATCATTCTATGTTTATGAAATTATTAAATCTCATTTCTTTTCTTGTTTCCCAAGTTATCGTAATAGGTAATTGGAGAGACCACCAAAAAAATAAGCAGTACAATTCAAATTTATAAAATATTATTTAATTACAAATAACAAATATAATTAATAGTGTAACAAGGCATTTATTAAAAGTTGTTAACATAAGTGCTTTAATATTTATGTTTTTTTAATTAAGGATTGAAATTCAATTCTTAACTTGATATGAAATTACAACTAGATATCACTTTATTTTTATAGGAGTTGATTTGATAATAAAAAGTTATATCTTATTATTAAAAAATAACAAATATTAGGTCAATGAATTATAAGTCCAAAACTAATGTAAATAGTAAAGAACAAAAATTTAAACACCTATTTTTCTATTAGAGAAAAATTCAGATTTAATAGTTATTTAAAAAAATAGATTTTTATAAATATATTTTTATGGGAATCATTTTTATCTTAATTTCCTAAAAAAATATTTTCATAAGGTGAGAATTCAACTTTCTTGAATTAGGGAAAAAATATTTTCATGAAGTGAGAATTCAACTCTTTTCCTATCTTCCTCTCCCTCTTCCCCCTTCCCTCTCTCTCTCCCTCTCCCTCTCATGCCTTTATTTCTCTACTTTTCTTGTATCTCATTATTTTTTGACCTTATCAATTTTAATAATATTATTAAAATTTATTTTATTTATATATTTTAATGATATTTATAAACACCTTTTTTTATGTAAATGAAATGAAATAATATATTTTTATTCTTAATTATAATGTAGCATTTTTTTTTTCAATTTTGTATTTAAATAATTTTAATAAGTTTTCAACTTTTTAAAATAGTTTAATATCATATTTGTAATAAGATTTGGATAGATAAATATATCTAATGAATTTATTTTAATAAAGATATTTTTGTAAAAAATATTTTATACCCAGGAATATATTATTATAATCAAACATGAAAATCTTAAATTTCTGGAAATCCTTTATGAATATTTTCATAAATTTTTATGAGTAACCAAACATATTTTAATTATTTTCAAGAATTATGATTCTTAAGATTTGTAATTCTCAAGAATCATGATTCCTTTGCATGAAAAAACTTGTCCCTGTACCAAACACCTCCCAAATAGTTTAATGTGATGTGGGTTTAGGCCTTAATTTTTTTTTCTTTTCTAAATTATATTTTAGATATCTCTATTTATTTTTAAGATTTAATTTAGTTTCATTATTTTAAAATGATTTAATTTGATCTCCTAATTTTTTAATGTTATTATTTCATCCAAATTGACATTGACAACATTAATGAAATCGGATAAAAGAACATTGAATATTTTTCTTAAAGTTTGGGGACTAAATTGAATCATTTAAAAATAGTGAAACAAAATTAAATATTAAAAAAAATAGAGAAATTAAATCAAATAAAAATTTATTTAACATTTTTTTTATCTTAGAAAATTTAAATTTTATTTTACCTGATTAATACTTTCTTTCAAAAATTAAATATTTTGTGATTTTTTTAATTACAAGTACTTAATTTGTTGTTTTTCATGATCTTCTTGTTAAGATAATTAAATTTGTTTCCATTATATAATAGCTCAGACACCACTAGAATGTGAGAGATCTAGATATTTGTATGTATGTGAGATTGTGTAGTTAAAGATGATTTCTATAAATTAATTTGTATTACCTATACCAATAAGATGCATTTATTTTTTTGTAACTCATCACAAAAAAATATAACTTCATAATTAAGTGTGTTTGATTTAAAGCAATTTAGGAATGAGTGACTTTGTGGAAAGTTTTTCAAAAAACGTGCGAGTAAGGACAAAACAAGCTAAAAATTCTTGTTTTGGTTTGTGGAGTTTAGGGTTTAGGGTTGATCCTAAAAGTGAACAAACATCTTATAAAGGACTACCGTGAAATGTTTTGAATGGTGAGAGGTTCTAACCAACGAAGAGTTGTGTGAAGTATTGTGAAATAAAATCGTTGAGACATCAAATTTGAAGGATGTTATAAATAGTGTCAAAGCAAATCCTCTCTCCGAGTATAATGTGGTTTGAGAACAAACTAGGAAGAAGTTGATGATGGACTTGTATTACAAATATGATATTAAATTATTTTAAAAAGTTAAAAATTTATTAAAATTATTTAAATATAAATTTTTTTAAAAAAAAATTCTACATTATAATTAAGAAGAATAAAATTATATTATTTCATTTTATTCAAATATAAATAAATAAATAATATTAACAAATACCATTAAAATGTATAAATAAAATAAATTTTAAAAATATTATTAAAATTAATAAAAGTTAAAAAAAAATGAGATATATGAGAGAGAAACAAAAATACAGTAGGGAGAGAGAAAGAAGGGAGGGACGAGAAAGAAGGAGGGGGAGAGAGAGAGAGAGGGGGGAAGAAAGGGGGAGTAAGAGTGAGAGAGATTGAGAGCAAAAAAAAGACATAGAAGGAGAGAGAGAGAGGGAGAGAGGAAAAGAAAGGAAAGTGAAAGAGAGAGAAAGAATGATATATATATATATATATATATATATATATATATATGTGTGTGTGTGTGTGTGTGTGTATATATATATATATATATGTTTTCTT